GGCGCCACCTCAGAGTTGCACAACTTACTCGGGCTAGTTGTTAATTTCACTTTTTAGCGCCCGTCAGGACACTTTGCAGGGTCCCCCCGGTCCACCCCGGTGGCCAGGAGCGACCTAATCATCCGCTAGGCCCGTGATGCGGAGCGCATGCTGAGCCCCAGGTGGCAGCCCCCTTGCGCACACACGCGTTGCGACGCCCCGCTGACAACTGCGCACGTTCTTGCCTTGTCGGCAAGAGCTGGACCGGCGGTTTCTGAAGGCCCGAGAGGATCTTGAGAGGTCCTTTTGCTGGCTGCATTGCCTGAAGATTTGACTGGTGCTAATGTCCACTCTGCCATTTCAGCAGCAGGCCCGGTTTTTGAGCTTCTGATGCCAAAAAGCACAGAACCTTAGCCGTTTGGGATCTGGCGGAGCTTTGAATAGCTGTGGAAGCCAAGTGGTGATGCGGAGCAAAAAGGGGCGGACCAGACCCGATGCCGATCGAGGCCGGAGGCACCAAAGGCTTGTCGGGTCATGCCAAACCCGTAATCCTAAGCCCTAAACTAAACCGTCAGGTTTTGGATTTAGGGTTTCCCTTGGTCGAGGGCCTTTTCAGGGGCTCTACATCTTTCTCATGATCTCCGCATCGGGCCATCGCAGCACCTTCTCAAGATCTTCTCTGGCACTCTGGGGTGTTAATGACTTGTGCTTTAAAGCACTTCTTTGGGTTAAATGCCAGACTTCTGTCTGAGGCGATTATATACGTAACAGGATAGAGTACAGCCATACAATATGCAGAAAACCAAGAAAGATTACATAACGAAAGATACAATGCCAGAAGATAATACAACAGAATATAGCCACAACGAGGCAACCTGTACTAGGAAAAAGTCTACCAGTAACAGGGATTTGGGCTTGAGGTTCTGTATTTCGGACTTATAATTGTAGGCGTTTGGAGTTGACAGAAAGTGGAGTGGGCTCATTAATTAGGTGTGTGTATCACCCCTGATATATGCCCCTCTCCCTGAGCAAGGCTCAAAATAGGGATCCTAGTGTTAGGGCCAAAAAAGAGATGTTGATTTAAAAGGAGTCTACATGTGTTCAAGACTGAGAACGCGCTATTTTGCGGGTTTGCTGTGTTTCAGCGACGTGTGTGACAATACCACAAAAGGTCTTCATGCCGTTTGCAGGCTGTTGCTGCGGCACACAGCCACAGGGTTCTAAAACGTAGGGGTACCTTCTTCAGGCGAGCTATGCTGCTTGCGACGTATACTTGCTGGTGTCTCATCTTGTGAAGTTCCCGTATTCAGACCCCAAAACTTGTCGCTAAGAGGACTTATATTTTGGGAGCCTGAGTAATTTGCAGTATGATTTCTTGGGTATACGGTATAAGATGCCCCCCCCAAACCCCAATCGTATGGATTGATGCTTACATTTGCACACCAGAATCTCTATCAGGTCAGGTATTAGGTTCAGGGATCAGGGTTTTGAAGTTTAGGTCCTCGTGACCCGAAACTTGAGCCGAAAGAGCCTGATACTTTAAATCCGCAAGCCCAAGCTCCGCCTGCAGAGCCCCAGCAACCTGACACCCGAAGAGCTTGAAGCATGAAAACTAGGGAACTGAGCTTCTACGCGGTTTTGGTTTAGGGTGTAGAGGATTAACGTAGAGACTTGCAGATTTGACTGCAGCCAGCTGATGGGTGTCGACTGTACATGACACCCGAGCTAGATCGGGACTGGGACTGAGTTTGGGGTAGAGTCTTTTTTTGCCAGGCGCGATTGTGTCAGGGTTGCTCATAGATAGTGCTTTCTGAAACACTGCAGTTCGCATAGCGAGCTTTCTGCCACCCGACAAACAGCGATCGAGCACATGCCTTGCACCTTTTGTCCTGATGTGCCAAGGGCAATGAAGGATGAGCCCGTGAGCGCAAATGCTGCAGGCCTGGGATGGGATCAGAAGATGCAAAAGTCCAAGAATCAAAAGTCTGAAAGAAGTGGGGCTCTTGTGCTTTGTTGTGTTAGGGAGGAGTGAGGAAGAGGAGGAGGAGGATAACGAGGGGTATTCCATAAACACGCCTGAGCACCTTGGGTCACGGGCCGGGTGTGTCCGTGTGACTGACATGTTGCTGACATGTTCGTCCACCGCGGCATTGTTTGGGGCGCGTGTGGAAGCCTTCCTGCATCCTCAAGACTGAAAGACCCAATTTCTTCATCGCAGCAAAGATCCATGCAACTTCATCGGTGCAGGTAATGGAGCTCCCAGAGTTACATTGCGGTTTAACGCAACACACAGAGCACCCAAACAAAGACTGGCTACACCCTCAGCCGAACACCAATCACTTCTTATAGTTTCGACCGAAGTTAAAATTTAAAAGACCTTAAGGCCTGAACCCGGTACGCCGAACCTTGAACTCCGAACTCCAAACACGGGCAACGGCTAAAGCCTTGAACCAACCCTCAGCTTCGTTTTCGACGAGCTGCTTGTGGCAGGTTTCATGAAGTCATCGTCCCAGCTCTCGTGAAGGCCTACTTGCACGTTGGCTAGCCCCGGAGCAGCATGATGCTTGCGATACAAAGTTTCTCGAGCAAGTCCCTGTCATGGATTCTTGGCTGTGGATGTTTTGCTTTGAGATTTTGGGTGTTCGAAAATTTTGGAATCTGGCTGGCAATGGGCGTAGTTAGCTCTGTTCTGCTATTTCAAAGCGTAATGTGAAGTCTTGAGTCGCAAACCGTCCTGAAGCCAAAGCTATCAAGACCCTGCAGCGCAAACCCGTGAACATCCCTAGAAAACGTTCGCCCGTAGCCGCAGCGAGTGAGACATGCATGCCAGAAATAGGAATGGTTTGCATGTTTTTGCCTTGTACGGGCTTCAGGTTTAAGGGTTGAGAGCCGTCAAGGAAAGGCGCACAGTTTTTCGGGTCTTGGGCTGCCCAAAACTGATCTTCACAGTTTGTTTCAACAAGGATTGCGTTGGCTCGGCAAAGCGGCGAACAGACTGCTGTGCTCACGGACGGGATTGCACGAAAGGTCCGCCATATAGTGGCACCAACAACCGAACCCTGATTGACGTTCCGCTCAGGCGGTAGCTTTCGCTCCCGCTTCAAGCTTGTTCATGGAACTCTATGCAGTCGTTGCCGAAATGTGACCGTTGCGATGCCTGCGTGTTTTCGCAGAGCCCATGCTGCTGCTTAGGAGGGCTGCACCCTAAACCCAAACTGCAGACCTCGACAGGTGGCTGGCGGAGTACGGTATCACAGAATGGGAGCTGGACTGGGAAGCCAGATACCCGGTGCGCAGCTGAGGCGACGCAGAACAGAAGAACAGTTTTTTCTGGATTCCGTCAGATCCTTCAACATGTGCCCCCAAAAAAATCTGTGGTGATGACTTCAAAAACAGCCGGTTTTGTTGCAGAGCTGCCCAGGTTAAGGCTTCCTTGTTTGCTGGGCCTGTAGAGACCTCTGCTCAGTCTGCAAAGACTACCATTCTTCTCTGAGATCCCACAACAATGCTGAAACATGAATCATGCGAGGACGCCGTGAATCTAGACTAGCCATGTCACGTGACGCCGATCTTCGACCTTAAATACTTGTTGTGTTTACATATGAGAACCATGCGGCCCGACTAACCAGCCTTTCTTAAGACCAAACATAGCGGTGTCCTCATATGAGCTTATGAACACGGGGCTCCAGTATCCCTCAATAGCCGTTAATCTACACAGCCCTACTATAATGCCCCTCAGCACACAGCACCAAAATCTGATTAAAACTTTGATGTTTAAACCGTCGTCAAACCGAGTTACATTTCCCAATCAGCGATGTAGGTACCTGTATAGCGGTCGTTTTGGCCTTATACATAAGTACAGACTGTACTCCCTTATCCTAAACAGCTCAAGCAGCAACGCCTTCAAAGGAACCCTTTATTTCCGAATGGCAAGGCGGAGAAAAGGTGCGCCTGCGAAAGCGCCGCACGTGCGACAGAGCGGTCTTCCACACAGAGGTCGGGCGTAGCTGCAAAGGTGTTTTTGGTGCTATTTGTGTCCCTGACTCAAGCTCCAGAGCTCGGCACCATTGCTGAAAGGAACATGTTGTCTTATGTCTTTCATCTGAGCCGCGGCCCATCAGTTCAAGATAGTTCAAGTTGCACATCCTACCTTCTGCATCTTCGGGTCCATGGGCAGTGAAGAGGACAAGAAGTTCGTGGTGGATTTGAAGCAGCCCGGGATAGGGGATGGTGTCAAATATGACATCAAAATCCCCAAAGAGGTCCTCGAAAAGCTGTGGGTCGACGAGGACTTCCCTCTGAACTACAAGTCCATAGGCATCAAGAAGGAGCTGGCCCTGAGCGTTGCAGGGCGCCTCGTCAACTATGCCTGGTGCCCGATTTCTTATTCCCATCCCGGCACGCCACTCTTCCCGGAGGATGGCGTCATTGATCCTGCGAGTTTGATGCAAGGGGCTTTAGGTGACTGTTGGCTCATCTCGGCCATTTCGACCATGGCGGAATATCCGTAGTCTTTGAAGAAGCTCTTCTTGACAAAGGAACACAACGAGATTGGGCAATACGTCGTGCGCTTGTGGAGTGAAGGATTGGTCCAGTGGGTAGATGTGAAGGTGGACTCCTACGTTCCCATCGACTTGGGGGGAGGTCTGGCTTACGAGGGGAAGCCGCGTCTTGACCTGTTCTGGTTTTCATAAACGGTTGCCCCCAATAAAACGAAGAGAAACAGATAAAAGAACTTACCAACTTTTCCAGGGCCCTAGGAAGAGCGAAGGCTTATCTACGTGAATCCAACCGATGACGCTTGCTGGATGTGCATTCTGGAGAAGGCCTTTGCCAAGTTCTTCGGGAACTACATGCAGCTGAACGGTAATATGGTGAGCGCCGGTTGGAAGATCATGACAGGGCTTCGGACCGAGACATTGAGAACTGGCAATTGCGCAGTAATGGCTCCTTTGCTAAGAGGAAGAGTCCTTGGGACGTCCAAGATCTGGACGTCCGTTGGGGTGAGAAGGAGGAGGACGCACACGAAAAGGGAGAGCTGAAGCCTGAAGAGTTCTTCAAGGTGATCCAGGAGTTTGACGACAAGAAATACCTCATGTGCGGTGGCATCGTCGCCAAGAAGAATCCCAACCTCAAGGATTTTGACGAAGAGGAGGATGAGGGTGAGATTGGAAATGGTCTGGTCACAAAGCATGCCTACCGTGTCTTGGGATGCTATGAGGGCCATGGCTTCCAGTTAGTGCGGGTCCGGAACCCCTGGGGGAAGAAGCAGGAATATACGGGAGATTGGTGCGATGTTTCTGACAAGTGGAAGGAGAATCCTGAAGTGGCCAAGGACAGCTTTTTTGGGGGTGGAGATGTGATGAGATGAGCTTGCTTGCATAGGTGGGGAGTAGGTGCAACAATACTCAAGACACGTACTAGAGTGGAGCTTCAACGCAGAGCCACCATCAGCTAGGTGGGTCGATTTCGTGATCTTTGGAGACCTCAGAGTTCGGGGAGATCCTTTCGGGGATCCTCACGCAAGCTGTAGGAACATTCTCGCGTTTCACGGCCATTTCTACATCACAGCTGCGCTCGTGTTCACTTGCAGATGGCTTCCTGGACCCTGCCAGGACTTGGACTTCAAACCGCGGGTGGACGGAATCTTTTGGATGACGATCAAAGACTTCTGTTACTACTTCACGCTTGTGCAGGTGGATATCTCTCATTTTTTTGGGGGTGCCTTTCTTTTCTTATCTTCTGTAGAAGGAAGCCGTTTTAAGGCGGAATGTTAGGGAATCCCTTCTTTGAGGAAGAAACGTAACCCCCAGGTTCTGAAGATTAGCCAGCCCTGCTCTCGAGCAGCCGACACGCCCTACGACGAGGAGAGGGCTTCTCCAAGCTCTAGGTCCCGCGAAATTCGGGGATCCTTAAATGAAAAGGGGATCCTACTCATTATGGGGGGGTCGGGGTCCACTTGCTTTCCCTTTTTGGGAGAAGTCAGGAGAGGGCCAAGAAGGTGAGGGCTGCCCGAGAAAAAGCCAAGCGCATCAGGCAGGAGATCTACGACAATGGTGGATGGTATACCGATGAGGCTGAAAGCTGGCGAGGTGGGAAGCAGCCTGGCATCCGAGTTTTCGAGGATCCCGAGCTCTTCGAGATGGTGACAAAGTCTTACATGGAGCTTTGGGACATTCCGGAAAATATTGCCAAGGACTTTGCAGAGCACGCCAAGACGAAGCTTCCGCCCAAAATGTTGAGATTCTTGGCCGACCGGACGAAAGAACAGAGCAAGCCGAAGAGCGAACCCGAATGGATGAAGGCCCAACGCAAAGCTCTGCCTCCAGGAGAGGGAGCCACTGGAAACTCCGGTGGGGATGAGTCTCGAGATGACTCAAGCCCAACGGCCGCAGGCAGTGGCCTTGGTGCCGTCCGAGCCCTCCAAAAGGAGGGCCACGAAGAGTCATCTCGCATGATGCACGGACTCTCCGGCCTGCCTGGGATGGCTGGGATGCGCGAGGGCTTGATGGCACCCCAAGAGGACTCCTTCTCTTTTGGCCCCACGGACGAGCAGCGGGCTGCAATCCTTGCTGAGATGGAGGCAGCCCATCAGAAGACTCTGGCCGAGGTGGAGGCCGCGAAAAAAGCCAGAGCCGAGAGCACCAACGAGCCGAGCCGTGGACCGCTGAGCGACAAAGAGAAGGCAGAGATATTAGGTCGGGACGACCTCACCCGACAAGAAAAAATGGATCTGATGGGCCCTTATTCTCAAGTTTCGAGTAGAGCAGGTGCAGGGTTGACTTGTCCAACTTCGACTTTAGGATGAACGCTCAAATTACGCGACATTTTTGTGCAAATTGTCCTTTAAAAGGTCATTGATGCACACACACTCAAACTTCGATGGCCCGAGAGGAGCTATAAGCTCTACCCGGCCATCGATGCCCGTGCTGTCAAAATTATTGGCTCGAGGCTGCAAGAAAAAGGTATGTTATTACAAGATGCAACTCATTCTGGATTGTCATAGATAGTCAGTAAATGAATTCTGCTTCATTCAAAGAATATTTAGGAGATTGAGACGAATAATATTTGACAAATAGGACCAAACAAGTAATAAAATCATGAGACCTGACTACACTACACTATGATTAAGTCGCATATTGGATAGAAATCATTTCTTTTCGATTACATCGGACACTAATGTTGAGGAAATCCGATGTTTTTTCATGTGCTGTACTGTGTTGTTACACTACCTCTGGAGCAGACGTGTGCAAGCCGTGCAGGTCCTTTGCAGGCGCCTCGGGATGGCCGCGTCCAAGGAGGGGTCCAGGCGGGTTTAAGTAAATTGAGGTGTTGGAGCCCCGCGAAAGTCGAGATCGCAAGGTGGAACTTGGCGTACGATCGATTACCTTCTACGCATACTTCAACTTCTGCTCTGAATACAAACTGATCCTCCTAGGCCCTAAACCTTTTCAATATACTTTGTTATAACCCTTCCCCCACCCCGGAACCTTATCTGACTAAAATATGATAACTCACCATTCTAATGATTTATTCCGGCACGTCCTAGACGTAAAATAAAGTTTCGGAAGAGGTTTTCGGAATTCGGAATCTGGTTTCGGAAAGCCAGTGCTCATGATCGAAGGCCGTCGGTGCGTTTTCTAGGCTTCAGCTTTTGTGGAGGGCTGCAGGCTCAAGCGAGAGAGGTCCCAGAACTATCGAGAACTCACGCCAGCAAGCGATTCGAGATCCAACCCCGTACGGCGCTCAGCCGCTGTCATTGCACTGGATCCCTGTTCCGTGCTGTGGCTCTGCAGGCGCTGAGCCCCAGCGGCGGCGCCCTCGGCGCGCTATGGGCACGTTTAGGGTTTAGGGTCTTCTACTTATCCTGGGCTTGTGGGTTTAGGGTTTCGGGTTTAGGGTTTAAATCTTGTACAACACCATCCTGATTAGCACTCAAGCTGGCATCATAGCGAATCAAATCCACAGGACAGGTGTAAAGGCTCTGGAGATTTGTGTTTGTCGGATTTTGTGCAGAAAGGGGCTCAGGGTTTGTTTTGCGGCTTTCATTTGCTCACGGGCTGTCATGGGGCTGCAGGGTCAAGGGGGCAAGCAAGGACTTTGGGTTAAGGGGTTTTAGCCTTCAGGGATTCAGGACTGAGATTACTGGTTTTTAAGAGGTTTAGAGTTTGACGGATTAAATTAGCCCTAAACGTCAAATTCAGATGCCCTCGACAAGCTGTTTAATTCATTGCCTATGCTGAAGCTGAGATGGGGAAATCTACCGTTGCAGCAGCGGTATTTCAAGATCTTCAAGCAGTTCCTGTTCCTGCTGCCTTTGTAACCTTTGAAACACCTGGGGAGCTGAAGTTGCAGATGGCGACGACTTTCCAATCCACAACAAACCAGTTGTCTCAAGACCTGCTTGGAGCTATGGAGAGGCTGAACAGAAGGGGTTTCAACGCGACCGTTTTGGTGATTGATGCTTTAGATGAACACTTTATGACTGACTCTGATACGGAAACAGCCAAGTTGCTCGCAGGGGTGTCTTGGAAGCTTCTTCAACGCGGTCTTGATTTCTCCGTGATCTGTCTAGTGCGATTGCTGGACACAGAGCGCCGCTTTGAACAAATGAATGGCGGACACAAGATCACAGGGGGTCTGGCAGCCGAGGCTTGTCTTCGAGTGGCTTCTGGTACCCTGCAAAGTTATGCAAATCGCTTGCACATGGCAAATGATTACAAGAGGCGGAGATGCAGCTCCATATCTGATGGTCGTCAAGCAACATGTCCCGCGTCGTGGCCCAATACAGAGAAATCTGCCAAAAATGCTCATTTAGGTTGGAGTAGCTCAAGAAGTTCATTTGGTCTCTAGACTTTGAAGTGAGAGCCGTAGTAGCGTGCAGTTTCGAAGGTAGCAAACTGAAAAGGGGCTAGCAGTTGGGAAGCATAAAAGTGCTGCAGACTGCGCAGCAAAGTTGGAATGTTTACAATGGAAGCAGGTCTTGCAAAGCATTTTACACAAGTGTGAAGTCATCCTGAAGTTGCGAGAGCTGCACAAGCTGAGAGCTGCACAAGCTGCACATTCGTTCAGAGGCGCTAAATCGTGTGTTGTGTTATTCCGAGATACCTTTGGCATTCTGCGAGGCTCTGCAAGGCACATCCACTTCCAACGTCCTGTAGTTTGCGAGACAACGCGCAAGCGTGTTTTCAAAAAGGGTCCAAACCATCGGGGTCGTAGCTTTGTACAAGCCCGCACCACCATTCATGAACACATGCAATATTTTTTTACTAAGGTGAAGGCAATGTGTTGTATGTCTTCAGGTTGAAACAAGGGGTTGATCGGCAAAACATGCAGGAACTGCCTTGCACCCAGACATCATGTAGGCTGGTTGCCAAAGCCATGACTGTGCGAAGGCCCAGAAGGCGCATTGTCGCGGCATTGCTGCTTTGGTCTGTGTGGCGTGGACAAGATGCAGGGGCAACAGCCCTAGTTCCAATAGGACTGATCCGTGCCATGAGCATGGCCATTCCAAAAGCAGCAGAATGGGCTGAGAGGTACAGAGAGGTCCCAGATTTCCCGCTCCAGAAAGTCAACGTGATGAACCCAGAAAGGAGTGCCAAGAAGCATGCCCAGAAGTTGGCCAACCGCATCCTGTGGGGAGGCTGGTTTCGGCAGGTCGTGGGACGAATATCGGGGAAAAGAGCGCCCATCAAGAACATGATCCTGCCATTCACTGAAGAG